GTGTGTAGATGATGAATGGATGGAAATTAGAGCGAAAGCTGTACGGTGGTTCTGATTCTGGCACATGCACTGTGTTAAGCCTCTGATGTTTTTGGACAAATATCGGTGCTGGAATGTGGAAAAATACTTTCTTAAATCACTTCACACGACAGAAGGACTGTTTGTGCACTTCATGCCTTGTTGAAAGTGATGTGGAAACGTTACTAAGTCCAACCTTGTGAGACTTTTACAGAAACGTGACGAGGATGCGCATTCAGACATGAAGCTGACATGTTCGGTTGCTGTCAGATTAAAGAAACAAGTGCATATCTGAAAGGGGCTTTAGTTGTCAGCCATCTCCCCTCCATTCACCCCTGTGCTGTGCTTGAGCATCCACATCCTGGCTGATTGGCCCACCTGTCCTTGTGACTGATTTGTGTTCTGTAGCGACTTACTGGTGTGACCCGTGGCCTTGTGCCAAGCTTTGATTTGTTTATCTGAGACACTCATTCCACTGCCTGCAAACCGGACCAGCCTGAGTTACGTTCACCTTAGACATGAGCGTGCACAGGACCCGGTGGAGTCGTGTTGGATCGGTCCACACCACTCTGTTTCCCATTCACGGAGGGCCGGGGCTGATGTTTTTCCCAAGGCACACACAGAACAGTCAGCAGACTGTGAGGAAATATTCACTGAATTTGACATAAAGCGTGTTGGATTAGACTCGCATACGCCACCTTTAACACATTTTTTTTTGTTGTTGTTCCTTTCATCTGTATGATAATTCCTCCACACCATGGAGGAGTGAGGTTGTGGCGGATTTGTTGGAAGTGACCAAACACTTCCTGGGTAGTACAGCAGATGCAATAATAACAGTAAATACATTTCAGCTTTCAGTTTGTGCAAAGCTAACCGTCCAGAGACACAAGAGATATCAATCCTTTCATCTAACGCTCAGCAAGACAGGGAATAAATCATATTTTCCAAAATGCCGAACTTTTAAGTTATTTATGAGGCAAATGTCTCAAAAATACCACTGGTTTCAGCTTGACAAATGTTGAAGACTTGATGCTTTTCTCTGTTTTCTACCACATTTAACTGAATATCTTTGGAGTTTGAACAGCTGTTTTTCCACATAAACAGTCTGAAAATATCACGCTGGGCTCGCTGTAGTTAAAATGGACATTTCATAAAGCAAATCTAGTATAACGCAAATAGTAGCTGCAGCCCTAAACAACATTTCACTAAGCAAAAAAACAAAAATATTCAAGTCCTTAGCGCTTTGCTAATACACGCTATTTGCGAACCGCCATTCGTGGATGAATGAGCATCTCTGGAGCATAAAAACACATCTTGGTCTTTGCTACAAAAACAAAGTTAGCCGCACTTCAAGCTGGGATGCAAACAGCAGCTGTTTATGATGTATGAGAAGCAATCGGGTCCTCGTCTCCACCGAGGAAGTGGGACGTGAAACATGCTTTCATGCTGCGTACGCCCTATGTGTCTGACCCGCAGCGTCTGTCCTCTCATCACTCACATTACAGAGATGAGGGCCAAGTCAATACGGATCTTCGCACCAGGATGTATCATTAAGATAACCACACGTCTCACCGCTTTCTCCTGACTGACACCTGATTCTTATTCATGGAGAAAGAGAGGAGAGGAGGGGAGTCTACATGTAGCATGTTCTCCATCAAATGAAAGAGGAGCGTGCACACGAAGCACAATCGAGAGAGCGACTGATCAAACACTTGGTTCGACAAATAAAGAAAACCTAGTATTGTCTGAATCGGTGTAATTCTCAGAGGCTCAGAGAAGCAGCAGCAGCAGCAGACAAGCGCGCCGTAGTAGGATGGATGCAGCCGCTGCATCCCGGCTCTCGATCTTAATCTCTCGCTTGTCTTGTGTGACATGGGTGCACATTTACATGGAAATCCGGCTCGTGGCTGTATAAATTGCACTATTAACTGGTAACAGGCGCCAACAAAGCCTCGTGATACAGGGCCGGAGAAGGCGGACACGCACGAGATAAAAACCTGAATCTCACGCACTTGTCATTCAGCCAGGATGTGGCGCGCTGCAAAGTTTGACTCGACCTCACAATGCACACGTCTGAAAGGCGGCGCGAATGAAAGTCAGGAAGGTGATTTATATGACTGCTTTGAAGGGGGTTTGATGGGCCTTTGTTGCGTGACACGGGGGTCTGGAGAATCTCATCCAACTTGACTTGTAGTCTTTGAAAACTGCAGATTAATATGACATCTGAGCAGTTGTAATTCACACTTTCAAAAAGCCAAATTTAACCTTGAGTTAGACAAAACTCAATGTCCTGTCACTTTGTCAAGGTTTTCCAAGAAAGCGATGGACGGTTCACCTCAGTAAACAAAACAATGTTTACATCTGGAGTTACTATATTTCCTGCCTACTTCATGTGTTATCCTTGTTTTTAAAGGGTCCAGTGCAGACGCTCCCCACGCTCAGTCCTCCTGGGATGAATCTTCCAGTCACGTCTTCTGGGGAGCCGCCGTAAACGCCCTGTCCAGCGTCCGGTTGGCCGGCAGAGGTGGCGGGCTCCAGTCCGGCTGGTAGAAGTGGATGTCAAACGTCCGTGCCCAGTTGGCGAAGACCCGTTTCTCCGTGATGAAGCGGTGGTGGCTGCCACGACGCCCACGCTCATGAGAGATGTACATGGCGCACTCGTCCGGACCTCGTGGCTCGTAGTAGTGATACGGGACGGAGTGGTGCTGAGGCTCCCTGTGGGGACGGAGACAGACGAGAGACAACTGGCATTTAAAACCACTTTAATGAGTCACTTGATTTGCATTTGACACCACAAAGTGTTTTCCATTTCAAGGTGAGAGGGAGACTAATCTGCACACATTTGTTTGTCATTCATGGGTCTAAATTTAGCTGCTTTTAATAACTTTTAAATGCCACCTACAGCCCAACACTGAATGGAAAAGCTAAATTTTTCACTCTTGAAAGTGGCAGCTCTGTTTGCGCATGAATATTAAAATCAGCATCAGTGCTTGATTTAAGTTCAAGGCGGTTTGTGTATCATAATTTCATACAAATTTAGTTCAGATTGCTTTACAGGATATTAAAGCAGTAAAATGACAAAGGAAGTATGTAGGAGTGTTCTGTACATGACTGAAAAACAACACTTCCACTTCATGCTCCCAAGTAAAACATAACAGCCTCCACTCTTCTGGTTTCAGGCTTTCAACAACACTGTGGACCCCGAATGCTCAGAGGTGTTGGATGTGTTTGAGGTCAGGGTAAGTTTCTTTCACACCAAGCTGGGAAAACATTTCTTTATGCACGGGGGGATTGTCAGCTTCAAACAGGAAACAGCAAAACAAACCGCTCCCACAAACCTGACAGCACATTGTTGTGTAAAATATCACTGTTTGCACAAACCCTGGACCACAGTCTGGTTTGTTTTTGGGACTGGAAAAGGCGACTGTCGTGATGCTAGTGATCTGTTAGCCTAATTCACTGAAGTTGTGGCTCCGCCCCTTTTCGTTTGAATTCATTTGATGGTGATTAAACTGGACTTCTTGTTCATGGATTCCAAACTGTTCAGGTCTTTCACCCTGTGAACTTCCAAACTCGCCAGCAGGTTGAAAAGGCATGTTGTCTTTATGTTTTTTTTTAAATTTATTTTTAAAAAACTTACAACATTAACAAAGCCAGAAACTAAAAACAGAGAGAACTGTCAGCTTTCTAATTGTCCTTGAACTACTCATCTGCAAAGAAATATGTTTAAAAATCGAGATATTGTATCATAATCACTTCATTCTGCATGTCTCAAACGAAATACAACTAAAAACAAACACTTACCAAATTCTGTAAAAAGCTGGCTGTAATCATGAAGCCATGACTGATTTCACTGCGACCAACAGTCACATGAACAAATCTTAACTGGGTTGAGCTGCAGGCTACACGGAGCAGACAGGAAGCAATAAACAGTAACTACGACAATAATTTACCATCTATGGCATGTGGCGTCCCCATTGTTTAGTGGAAACATCTATTGGTTTGTTGCACATTGATTTCAGGTTTTTTTTTGGTTTTGTAAAATACAAAAATGCAAAAAATTCTGCTTTTGGTTTTGTCTTTTTTTTTAAAAGCCTTATGGCAATATACAGTCGTGACTCGATAATCCGACCCTTAACAATCCAAAAACCTTGCTATCCGACAGGTTTTTAGGAAAAATGAATGGAACCCATGAAAAAAAGCCTCAACATACCGACAGCCTTGGATGCCGACTCCGACATGACATTTTATGTCACCAATCAGGATAACGGCGTATTATCTGACTTAACAATCCAACAGATTGGCTACGTTCACACTGCAGGACTTGATGCTAGATTCAGATTTTTTTGTGAAATCCGTTTTTTTTTTTTTTTGTGAGTTCGTTCACATTTACAATTAAATGCGACTTGTATATGATCTGCTGTGTGAACTTCATATGACCCAAAAGTGTCCCGCATGCACAGAAGAGGACACGACGACGTCACACGCAGCGAGCGTGCTCAGTGTTTATGGAAGTAAACATGGATGGTAACGGTGGAGCATAACTGCCCCTCAGAACAGAACTGGGACTGCTAACTAAACTGGCATCAACAGCCAAGTGCTGCCTGTGTGTTCTGGACACTTCCACCCAATCAGAGCGCTCCCCCAGGGTGGAAGTGTCCCCCAACCGCACCGAATATTCATCATTAATCCAAATATCCAGAGACCAGAAAGTGCCATTCCAGCCCTACTAGTTATTATAACAACTATGAACAATAATTAAAAGCCTTCAAGCATCAAACCCTCCTTGTATCTCGACCTCCGTCTTGACAATCCGACAGCCTTGCTATCCGACATAAAAGAAGGTTTCACATTTAGTTTCGGATTATCGAGACACGACTGTAATTCTGTTTACTGCATGCAACAGTTTTTTAATTCTCTCTACTTCTAGTCATGGTTCTGATGTTTCCATAGAGGTGCAGGGCTTTATGTTGCAGTGAAAAATGAGCCCACAGTCAGTAAAAATGTAACAGGAGGGAGGGGGACACTCAAAACCACCTAGAACCTGCTCGGGGTTCAGAGCGTTAAATTTTGCTTGATGTTAATTAAATTACTACATTTTTAAAGCACATCTTCCATAATAACTCAGCTTCCTCTGTAATATTAATGATGTATTTCATTTGCTGCACACCAGCATTTTCAGCTGCCCCACTCAGCATGTACATACAGCCACGTATTCATCTTTGTATATTCCCTATCTGTCCATGTTTCCATTCAACATGTGAGCCGACAGCCGGTTCTGGGTGTTTCGCCGGTCGACGTGCCTCGAGACTTGGCTTGTATGCATGTTGCACTCTGATACATTTTAAAAGTGAGCTTGTAAAGAGATGTCGAGAGACTGATGCTGAATGTTTGCATCTCAAAATGCTTCAGTGAATAGAAGGCTTGGGAAGCCCAGCAAAGGGAGACACATTTGGTCTCCCGTTCAGGGTTTCTTCTTTCAAATACTGAAGCTTGCTTTGTTTCGTTCTATTCAGGATGTAGATTTCTTTGACATGTGCACAACTCCAGAGATTTCAAATCACATATTCTTTAAGATTTTGGAAACCATTTGTCTGCAGCTCGTTCTTCACTTGTTGAAGTGACTGGTCTGAACAACAGGACTGGTTTTGTAGAAACTTTTGGTGAAAGTTTCTGTTGTCAGAACTGTAAAGTTTCAGTGACGCACAGTCTATACCGAGCAACACAATGTCATGAAACCTTGACAGGGACTGTTTCATGTTTCATGTCATTCCACAGCCTCTCTGGCAGTGAATGACAACTAAAATGCCTGAAAAGATAACCTTAAACCGGAGGAAAATGCACCTCAGCACGATGTTCCAGCACTTTCAAAACTGCAGTAATTCAACTTTGAGAATTCTGCTGAAAGTTACAGGTTCAAAAAGTGACCTCGAAGTGTGTTAATGGTGCGAGTGCATGTGTTTGTTACATCCTTTAAACAGCAGCAGTTTAACAACAACTCCTCTGCATTTTAGGACAGAAAAGAAAAGGTTCTACAATAGATGCAGAATTTTTAAACAACAGCTTCATGTCAATAAAGTATATCTTACATGACGTTTGACAAAGACGCTTTTTAAAATTCTCCAGACTTCCGTCATCATGAGAAAACTATCGGCTTGAGCCCACGATTGCTCAAATAAACGAACCAGCGTTCCCTGTTCATTATCGTATCGACTGAATTTGTGCTGAAACACAAAACAAAAAAAATAATTCTTTAATCAATGGGAGCCAGGAACAAAGATATAGTGAACATTTTACAGTTTCTTTATTGCAGATATCTAATAAGATTTGTTCCTTGTTCAATAAAATCCTCCAATTAAAGTGCTGGCTGAGATGGATGAGACGTGAGATGTAATTCAAACCATTAAACTCTCGCTAACGAGCCTGGATGAGTTGCCAGAAGCAAGACGGAGTCACAAACCGTTACATATCTCACAGTGCTGTCTGCTACATGGCAATGGCATCGTTGTCGTGGCATTTCTCTGCTTTATTCAGTGTGTTTTTCATCACCGGTTTAAGTCTCGGTGCTGCTGCAGCGCTGCCTGGAACACAGAGAATAAACCTCTGGATGATGCCGGTGTTGTTGTGGTTAGATTTAGCACCAGAGCTGCTTCCTTCTGTGTTTATCAGTGCAGTTGGAAAGCGTTTATTGAATTCATTTGCAACTGAATTGATAATTATTTAAAACATTTAAATGTCACCCACAAAAGACTGCCTAATAGTGTGGACGTGCAGAGAATCTTAAAACCGTGCATCCTAAAAAATTGATGTTCAGCTTTCAGATAAACAACTGAAGTCTCTTTTTCTAGTCGGTGGAGTGGGATGCAGAAGGGAGGATGTTTTAAACATGTCGAGAACAGGTCGTTTTTTTTAACCCACATAATGATATTTTGACCAAAGCGCGATATTATCCTAAACCTAACAGGATGTTGTGTGGAAATCAAAGGTCAAGAACAACAGAAACTTAAGACTGATGGTCTCTCATCCGTCACAGATGAAGGTTGTCTCGCTGGGTTCAGTCTCCATCCTCTACTCCTGAATCATAATTCGGACTTTGTTGCTCCTTCAAACTCTTTCCCACCACGTCACAGCTCAAAAATGACAACATTTCAAAATAAAATTACCTTCCCTACAAATCCTACTGAAGCCTGCAGTTTACTTGTACAGGACCGTCCTTTTGTAGAGACAAGGTTGAGAACGGACAGCGAGCAGACCAGATACTCACAATTAGTTTTGGATTAGAATTGCTGACTGTACCTTTATTATTCACTCAAAATGCATTTCCACAAAGTTTAATTTTCCTCATTTCATCTTATAAATATTGAATCCAAGTCAACATGTTTATCCCAGGACAGTGTGGTAGTATTCCTAACTGTAAAGCAAGAACTAGCAGTTAAATAAACCAGAATAAAAAAGCTGTTAAGAGCAAATGAAAGCCAGAAATGTTTCCTGTTAAAACCTAATACTTCATTTTTAGCTACAGCATTGAAACCCAGACTGCTGTTGTTGCCTGAAAACAGAAACAGAAACAGGTGCATAGACCAGTGGTTCTCAAACTGGGGGTCGGGACCCCCATGGGGGTCCCAAGATAATTTCAGGGGGTCACCACATCATTGTAAAAAAAAAACATAATAATAACAATAATAAAGCCTACATTTATCAAATAAATGTGAAGTAGGGCTGTCAAAATTGAAAGTGTACACTTCTTCCCACTCCTTTTTCAAACTTGTTAATATTATGATTTGATTATGTGATATTATTATTGTTCTTTTTAAAATTATTTTCTTTTGTTTTTATATATTTTTTTCCCTTTCATGTGTTCGAAATAAATTCAATTCATTCATTCATTCAAAAGACAATTAACGTGTTGATGTAAAGAGATTAATCTGTGGAATTAACACATTAATTTTTATGCATTAATGCACAAACAACAAAGTTATTACTCATGACATATTAGAAATTCAAATTGGGGGTCACGAACACAAACTTCTGTTGTCTCGGGGGTCGTGGCTCAAAAAGTTTGAGAACCGCTGGCATAGACAATAGAATATATGGACAAACCCTGTAGGTCTGAAAATGTTTTTAAAAAATGGTGAATTGACTTAAACCAGCATTCTTTCCAACAGCCAGCAGGGGGCGACTCCTTTGTATTCAGAATGTAAAGAAATCTATGAGAGAATTACCAAACTTCTCATTTGATTACCTTAAACGCTTCTGGCCTCCATCAGTAATCTAAAGTCTCATTCAATACATCATGATGGGCACTTTTTAATATATGGTCCTGGGCGGAGGGGGCTATCTTGTGATTGACGAGTTGCTACCATCTGGCCCTTTATGCTTAGATTTCCAGTCCGATCCAGTCATCACACCTCTTCATCTGAAAACCAAGGTGTTGACATCCAAGCTACCAACCCTGAGGCTTAACAACAGCGTCCACAAACCGGTGTCCACTTGCTTTATACAGTCTGTGGTGGTTAGCTGAAGTTTTACTGAGAGGATGCAGCTCTGACAGGACGAATAGAGATGTCGAGTGTGAGATAAAGCCGGCCTCATCTAATCAGTATCTGAGTGCATCTGTTAACCTGACCAAAACATTTTTGAAAAACCGCTTTCAAAGAGGAAATCACTCCAGTGAAATACGGCGGCCTGCCTTTGGGCTACACATGTGGCTTTATCCCTCATGTAAGCTTGTTCCACTTCATGGCTGGAGGCTCTCATGTCTGCTTCTCCAAACTGAATAATCCAGAATATAAAACAGAACAAAAGGAACTGTCTCATTGTAAATGCAACAGAAAAAAAATAATAAAAACGTGGCTTTCTTTTGCCTGATTTCGAAGCGCACAACCGGCGTGCCCTTTGCCGCCCTCGGTAGCTGGTAATCTATTGTGTGTTGGTCAATTGTTGGATATTTTTATTGACGCCACGCTGCAGCGAATAAAAAATTGAAAAGAGTGATTGTGGGGAATATTGAGCGATGCAGAAAGCAAAAACCAAATGTACCCACACAAAAGAGGTGAACAAAGCCGGAGGAAACAAAGGGCTGACTGTGGCTTAAGTAGCAGGAAATTAGAGCAGGTGAGCTCAGTGTGGCTGATGACTCCACCCCGACGGAGGAAACCACTCGTGTGTGTTGTCTTCATGCAAAAATCATCGTGTATGTGGAGCACGATCCGTATGAATCTTATATATTTGTCAGCAGAGTCAGAGTCGGCCTCAAAATGCAGAATACTCGCCTGTTTACTGAATTATTTTTTATTAACACACACACACAGGCAATTTAAGTATTCCACAAACATCTGCAGCCACACTGAGATTTTATTATCAGCCGCCTGAATATATTTACAGTTTTAATCTTTCTTATCAGGTGGCTGCTGTGAATTTATATACACTGGAAGCTCTGCTTTGAAAACTCTCAGCGAAGGCGGATCGAGCAGGTGATGATCTTTTTTTGCTTTTAAGCTCCACTGTCTCACCTGCAGAAGTCAGGGGCCACCATGCCGTAGACGTTGATCCTATCGCACAGCTCCAGGGCGATGGTCATAGTGAACCAGCCGGTGCTCAGCCAGGAGTTTGATATCCTCCTGCAGAAGGGAAGAAGGGAGGGTTTGAGAAGACAGATTTCATGCACGGCAGACCACGAGGATGAAAACTGCACCTTATTTGATTTTTTTTTTTTTTCTCTCCCCCCCGATCGTGATTAACGGAGATAGATAATCAGAAAAATCTCACGTCGGTGTATTACGGCGGAATAACGATTTATCTTAAATCCAGAGGTCGATTTCTCCTGACTGCAAGATCATTCAAGTTCCCTCACAGCTTCATTAAAATCCACATCCATCCTGCATATCGACTGATACAAATGAACCCTGTCAAATAATCAAACCCTTAATCAGAAAGTAGCCTCGGCCTGCATGTAGTCGAGATGGCATCGCTTCGGCTGCCCGGCTGCTTTCAGGCTGCAGAGAAATGAGCACTAATCACGGTTTTCTGAGCTCGGCTCCCATGAAAGATATATGAAATGATATTTACTCTGCATTTGAAGAATCTCTCTAAATCTAAATGTCCATCAGAGCGGGTTTTCTCACAGGATTGCTGTCAGATGAAAAAAAAACAAAAAAAAAACATTGCAGCCTGTCTAGCGAGCATTTCTGAAGAATTCCTGGTTGGTTCGGAGCAGATTTAATGGGAGTCTGGAAACTCGCACCACTTCTGAAGGGTCATGAAACTCTTTGAGGTGAAATGAAAATAAAACAAAATGAAAATAACGAAAAGTTTGGCTTTAGGATTTTTGACAGCAGTAAATGAAGTGTGCAGCGTACTGAAATATTTATAAGAAGAACTTCTTTCATTCAGATTGTAGCGTAAAAAAAACACATCATATCTTTTAAAGCAACCTTTGGGGGATTTTTTTAAATTAACTGCCAAACAAAAACACCCAGACTGAGGTTAATATGTGTTTTTAGCCCAGGAGTGATGCGGTTGATTCGCCAGTTAATCCACTGCTGGAATGTCTCAACAACTGCTGGATGAAATATGACATTTATTAATAAATGTTCATGGTCCCCAGAGGATGAGTAATGACTCTAGTGATGACTGACTTTTCCCAAAGCACCACCGTGACATACCTGCTAGAGGGAAGCTATTGATGAGGACAAAGTTTGATCATTCGTGGCTCATTCGGTCTGTAATCGTTCCATTGTTAGAACACTTTCTGCTCAACCATTGCCGACGTATTTAACACCTGAAAATATGGATATTTATTAAGATATTTGTGAAATTTTCGCTTGATTTACCAAAAACCTTCTGAGAGTTTTGTTGAACTTTCATAACTGATCGAGTCAAGCTGTCCCACAAAAAAACTAAATATTGCTTGATAACCCTAATCTGCGTAGAACAGGGATTAATTTTTTCAAATTAAAACGTATTCTGTATGTTTTGTTTTGTATTACTGGGACATGCAGCTGCATAAGTTCAGAAAGTTCATTCCTGCATTATCATTTACTGTTTTTGTTATTGCGAGCTCAAAAATGGCACTTTTTTATGACAACTTCTATTATTTTAGTCACAGTTTATCTCACCCACAATCAGAGAATATTTGATCCAATTGTCCAATATTGAAAATTCTGAAGCAACAACATGACGAGAAACAACAATGAAAATGTCACACTTTTATCATTAATTGTTCCTGAGATGTTGTCACTCAAACATAACTCACATTTATCTCTGAAAGCACTTGATGTATCAATCTAAAACATCCCCATTACTATTTTAAATATACATAGCTAACAATAAAAAAGCTTGAAGCAATCAGAGTGAAAGGCCACCGATGACTTGCAATGGAACAACCCTTATGTAGGGAAAATAAACACACAGGCATTTGTTTGCTATAAAATTCTCCTTGGCTTCTTTAATAAGTTGCTTCCTGAGTATTGCTGAAGATTTGTAAAAAAATTAAATCATTTACTTTGTGGAGGTGAGGGGTGGGGAGAACTTTCTGTGTTTCTGAAAGAGGATTTGGGCTGCAAGGTGGCGCAGTTGGTAGCACTGTTGCCTCGCAGCAAGAAGGTTGCCGGTTCGGGCACCAGAATCTTTCTGCGTGGAGTTTGCATGTTCTCCCCGTGCAGCGTGGGTTCTCTCCGGGTTCTCCGGCTTCCTCCCACACAGTCCAAAAACATGTTGAGGTTAACTGATGATTCTAAATTGTCTGTAGGTGTGAATGTGAGTGTGCTTGGTTGTCTCAGCTGGGATAGACTCCAGCCCCCCATGACCCTAGTGAGGATTAAGAGGTGTATAGATGATGGATGGATGGATGATTGTGGCTAAAGATTTGATAGAAATAGTTAGAAAACTACTAAACTAAATAACATTAACCTGCTTTGTTGTTGGTGTGTTAGTGTTTAGCTCAATCCATCCCAGCAGCACTGAAGTGCTCTAAACTCTCACAGAACTGCCAGCATGGCCGACTCTTGTCAGTCTCGTCTTGTCTTCACGCTGCAGGAGCGACAGAAACCTTCAAGACGTTGACGTGAGGCTCACTGGCCTGTAGCCACGGCTCTAATCCCTGCCAGGCACAGCCATGCAGATGAGTTCAGCTGCTGTTGTCTAAAACACGTCTGGAACAATAAATATTCATCAAATCAGCTTCTGTACAAAACTGCATCACAACTGTTCCTTCACACACAGTGAGAAGATATTCAGATATGGGCCGACGTAGCAGGTTTACAAAGCAGAATTGTAGAATTCAGCAGAGATGAATCTGCATCGGACTCAGCCGCACAGCTCGTCATGCTGCTGCTGCTGCAGACCAGCGGATGCGTTAATGCATCAATATCTGATCGGATTTTAGACTGGATTTGGTAACTTTAAATTAAATGCATGACTATTAAAACAAAACCCTAAAATGTTTTGTTTGAGTCGTTTTCTGGGCGTGATTCACCAACATCCATAAACATCATCCAAAGAATTTTATGACAAACAATAAAGAGAACACAAAGAGGGAGGAAAATGAAATGAATTCTACTTAATCCACAGAAATGACATTAAATGAATTTCCTCACTCAGTAATTAAAGATGCAGTCGCGCTGCCTGTAGCTGTTTACTGTCAAGAATATTTTATTTATATAAATAATGAAAATCAGCAAATCCAAAATGCTTTAAAAAAGAACAGGCATATGGCATAGAAATGAATTTAATAATCAACTAAATTAAATACTGGTCTGAGATTCCCAGGCAGGTGGCTCATTGTCACATTCATTTTGATAGATTAATGTGACAATAAGCCACAAAACTTTCTTTCATTTTGAGTAAAGACCACTCACATTTTGGGGAAACTGAATGGACGTATAGGACACAAGGGGCAAAAAGCTAAACGGCAAAATACCTTAGAAAGAGGGAAGCAACCATAGAGAGACACAAAATGGCCATAAAAAGTCAGAAAACTACAAAGACATACAAAATGACCCACAAACAACACAAAATGACAACAAAGAAACTCCCAACTACTGCAAATAGACACAAAATGACCACAACAACACACATAGTGATTACAGATAGACACAAAATGATGACAAAGAGACTTAGAAGGACCACAAGTAGACACAAAATGATCACAAAGAAACTCACAACTACCCCAAACAGACACAAAACGACCACAAAGAGACACATAGTGATTACAGATAGACACAAAATGACCACAAAGATACTTAGAAGGACCACAAATAGACACAAAATGATCGCAAAGAAACTCGAAACTAACGCAAATAGACACAAAACGACCACAAAGAGGTACATAGTGATTACCGGAAGACACAAAATGACCACAAAAAAACTCACAACTACCGCTAATAGAGACAAAATTACCACAAAGAGACACATGGTGATTACAGACAGACACAAAATGACGACAAAGAAACTCACAACTACCGCAAATAGACATAAGATGACCACAAAGAGACTTAGAAGGACCACAAGGAGACACAAAATGACCACAAAGAAACTCACAACTACCGCTAATAGACATAAAATGACCACAACAAGACACATAGTGATTACAGATAGACACACAATGACGACAAAGAGACTTAAAAGCACCACAAATAGATAGATAACAACCACAAAGAAACATGAAACTACCACAAGTGGACACAAAATGACCACAAAGAGATGAAAAGCATCTACAGAGACACATTAAACAGTCACAAAAAGACATAAACCACCACAACCACTGTGAGACACAATGACCACAGAAACACGTTAAACAATTAAGAAACACAAAATGACAAAAAAACAAACATAATTGACACAAAAGGGATGGGAAATTACCACAAGTACAACAGCTACAGAAAGATGTAAAACAACCACAAATAGACAGAAAATTACCTCAAACTGTGAAACATTCAGAACTTCAGCGTTTATTTGGCATCACTTTGCCATGACGAGAAGAAAACAGACAAAACCAACCAGCCAGAGTCCTAAAACAACTCAGTAAACATGATGCAAAACATCTGCAAGATATAAAGTGATGAATGCAAACGCACCGAGACACAGAACAGCGACTCATCACAGGTCAGAGTGGGTTTGTGGTGCTTTTGTGTCTCTTTCGGTTTGGCTGTTTTGTTCCTGGAGGAGCGTTGAGGGTCCATTTCCATGTCTGAGCCCAGGAGGCCTGTTGTTTCATCACCCATCCACGATGATTCGCTCTGGACTCATTTGAATATTGTCCTCGCCATGACTCCGACGTGGGGACGCGAAGGCCGGCGCCAAAAATTTCCCGACAATCCCACAGCTGTCGAGACGTTTCACTCAACAGAGCAAAATGCCAACCTCAGAGGATCATCAAAGGGATGCATCATCTGGGAAACACGAACGCCGACCCCCCCGACACCAAAAACACTTTAAGCGTGTCAAAAATTAGTTGCACCTTTGGTTCTTTTCCCGGGATAAGTCATCGTATCTTTTAACACGGCGTGACTGAGGAAGAGTGAGGAGGCAGAGGTTCAAACTGCTGCTTAAGAGCAGTTTGACAGGATGCGCTGCTTATCTGGCGGCCGGCCTCATCATCCTGCCGCCGTTCAAAGCTTGT